TTACTGTTTCATTAGAAACACCGACGCAGCTCACACTAGTTTTTAGCTAGTTATATCTTTTTATAATATTGTAATTTGGAGTAGAATAACATTATAAATAATTGTTCCCCATATTCTCAGGAAGCACTTGAGTATGCAATGAAGAAAGGCTTGTGGGCACATGCAGTCCTCCTTGGTGGATTAATGGACACCAAGGTGAACAACTCCATGTTGGACTCCAAGAACAGTTCGTCAATTATTTCCAGGTAAAAAAGAAAGCAATCTTCAGTGAACATCTTGGTGGTCACCAAAATACCAACCAGCTAGCTTATCTTTTCACCTTCCTTATTGATATTCTGTGTCTTTGTTTATAGGTTTTTTATGACTCTTGAAGAAAATGATCCTCTGAAAACAGTGTATGAACATCTTGGTGGAAAAGTGCCTCATGCTATCAAGGTGAGTTGAAAAGATAGAAAATTGAAGTAACTGGGTGAAGGGAACAAATATGTGAGTTGTATCCTTTTGATGTGGAGTCTTTTTTTTTTGAAAGTGAAAACATATTTTATTGAGTAAATGGTTTGAACACAGGTGTTGAAGTTTGTTGTGAAATGTGATTGTCCGGGTGAGTGTAGTCTTGAGAAAGACTGTTGTTGGTGGTGACTGACAGTTTGTTGTGAAGTGTAATGGTCCGGGTGAGTGTAGTCTTGAGAATGACTGTTGTTAAGTTGGTGGGGACTGACAATTCAACAACCTGAGTGGAAGTCATTTTCAGAGTCCAGTGAGAAAATGAGAGATTTTTATTAACTTGTTACCCTCGCACTCAATTGCAAAACCACTGTTGGGTTTAATACTTACATCTAATCAAATGTACAAGATTCCCATGTAACATTTTGTTCTCAGCTTTTATATTCTCTGTTTTGAACTGATGGCATTCTGTACATTGTTTTTATAGCATCATACAAACTGGGCTTCAAATCTTGCTGGGATCATAGCAAATCCAACCTCATTTCCTGAGAAGGACAAAGAGAACATCATCACACTTGGTGATACCTTAGGTAAGACAAACCTGATATAAACTAATTACGATTTTGAGACTACCATAATCACAAAATATTGACGGCTAGTTGGGAGGAAATATATTCCGYATTGGGCGGAGTCTTGAAGTGATGGAGCCCAATACCGAATATGTTTTCTTCCAACACCGTCAATATTTCGTGGTATTGTCATCTCAAAATCGTAATTAGTTTTGTATCGCAATTCTAAAGAATTTAACAAATAAAAAGAAAAAAAACCGACCAATTTTTGTGATTAAAAGCAAAATTCTTCTTATGAGTGCGCACTATGGTGCAAACAACGAGTGTTATTAAAAATTTGACGCCCATGCTCAAGCTTTCCTTTTTGTCCCGCGTTAGAAACCTGAATTTCAAAACGACAATGCCACAAAATATTGTCGTCTCAAAGATATAAAAAACTATTTAGTGAATCACGATGCTCTAATATACCTTTTAAATTTTGTAATATCCATAACCATGGTGATACTGTACATGTGTTCAAGCTTCTTTTAAAATGATAAAATGTTATTCATTGTGGAACTGTAATAAAATTAATGATACTTATTTGTTTGGTTGGTGATTAATTAAGGACTTCAATTTTTTGACTGCAAACTGCTAGGTATTTATCATGTGATGGTATAGACTGGATGGTGTGTCTGTTATATGCCTCTCTTCAG